ATTTATACATTTTTATATTTTAATATTTCAAATATAAATATTAAAATTACTTAGAAATTATTTAAATTGAAATGATATATGTTATTTGAAACAAAATTTCTTTTAATTTATATTTGCATTTCTTTTTTACTATGATTATATTAATCAAAAAACGTTTTTATTATAATCTTCATAAAAAATGGGCCGTTAATGGGTTAAATAACGAAGATTATCTCTTTTATCCTGACATATCAGCCGCTGAAAATTGAAAACAAAAATCGCCTGTAATATTCCTTACAAATTTGATAATATATTAAGACAATTTTTTAATCCCAATGGATCAGTAACCCTTTTTTTTAAATTCTTCATTAATTAATGAATTAATGATTTAATATTGTAATTTAATTTTACAATAATAGTGACCTTAGGATAAAATTAATGCCATAGAACTAAAAAATTATTAAAATGGAAAACCGAATAGAAACATATATCTTTGTAAAATAGATTGTCTCCATTTTTGTGTATTCAATTATTATTATCATATTATAATTTTCAGAATCTTTTGAGAAAATTGATATTCTCATTTCTTTTCTTAATAATGTGTCATCTCTATTATATTAAAGTGTTTATAACATATCGCAATTGCTTTACTTCATACACAATAATCGTGTTATAATTATTAATTAATAAAATTCATTTTCGTATGCTCTCTCTTTCTCTCTTTCTTTCTCATCCTCTCCTCAGCATTTTCTTACTTAGATCGCAACTTCTTATCAATCACGCTTCAAATCAATCTCACATATTTAAAAAAAAAAACAGTTATTCTTACATACTTGTTAAAGAAACAAACTACTTGTTTCGAAAAAATCTTCTATTATAAGAAATCGTTATCGGTAATTAAGTATAACATAATATTTTCGCTTGCGATAAAAACATTACATTGTTTTAAGAGATCCAGGCATTAATCAACAATTGTTTAAATAAACCGAAAAAAATGTAAAATTTACTAGAAACGACTTTTCATTCATTTTTCTCAGTCTTTTAAAATAAGACAATATCATTATTATGAATTTATCTCAAATATAAATATTAATACAACATATATAAATTTTTCTTACGATTCTTTTATAATTTTTGCCTAAATTTCATTTCCGCTTAATAACAAGTGTCTGCTCGAATGTTTCCCTTTTCTTTAAATTTCTATACATTTCTTAATGTAGTATTATCTTATTATTTCTTCATATTATTATCGCAAATACAGGAATTGTTGTAATGCCTTGATCACTTCCTGTATTCATGCATTTTCGCGATTTCACGTAAAATGTATCTCATAAAACAACATTTTTCTGTTTCAATGTAATTTGACTCAAAAAATTACAATCTGTACTAAAAAGTTCGTTTCTTAAAAACATTAAATAATTTAATATTACATAGAAAATTACTCATTGTTATAATTACTTTTTGAAAACAGAAATGGGAAAATGCGGACCCAAACGATAAATGCAGACCCAAATACAGTGTGACAAATTAATGTATGACTCTATAAGAAAATCAAAAATGTTTCGCAAATATATTTTTTAATATCAAAATTAGGGTAAATAATCAAAGTGTAAAAAATTCTTTTTTTTTTTCTTTACTTCTTTTATTCATTAAGCAAATATATTGAAATGAAAAATATTCAATATGATACAATTATTCAAAATAAACATAAAAGTAGGAATATTATTATAATACGCATCGCGATTTACAATCAAGGATAACACAAACATTAAAAGAATCGATTTTAAGAAATTAATATAATCGATTAATAAACGTTTCTTCGTAAACCCGATTTTAATTATAGAA